TTTGTTATTTATTTTAACTTGTCTTTAACTTTTTATATTTGTTATTGTCAATTCTTTTTTGAGGAAATGTCCATTTTTTTCCTCTAAATACAAAATACTATATTTTTCTGGAAATGCACTTTATAAATTTGTTGGAAATTATTAGAAAAACATAAAAATTGAGGATTATTTTACACCATTTCTAAGGAAAACAGAGCAAGGTTTGCACAAACCAAAGACTTGACAGCTCAGGAGGAGTTCATAAGAAACGAGGCAAAGTGTTCACCCCACTGACTGTGTTTGTATGAAGTTTATACTGCAGGCTGATGTGGCTGATACAAAGCATCAGAGATAATACACAAACAGGATGTGGTTGATCAGTGGCTCAATTCAGCTTTCACATGGTTTCGCTCAAATCAGAATCTTGGATTCCTTATAACAGGTTCACACATTAAAACCAAAGTTATGAGCACATGGTTACATGCAATTCATAGGTTGTGATTTGATAAAGCAGCAGAAGCTGGACAGACCAACAGGCAGCTGGTTTAAGTGGAGCGCTCGTTGTCGAGATCTTTCATGATGTCCTCGACCCAGGAGAGACTGGGATCCACACAGATGCGACGAGACTTTGCTACTGTCAAACTGAAAGAAAAAAGTGAGAAAGGTTAACGTCATTATCGACACTGTTCTCTGACTTTTTATCCACATTAACAAACGCTTTAATGACAACTGGAGTAAAAATGCGACACAAAATAACAACAAGCAATTTCATAATTTAAATTTCATAGTGATATTGAGTAATAATTGCAGCACTTACATGACTCCAGGCTTGGCGCACCGGTGATCAGTCACCTCATATGAGTCAATGACCTTTTTGTTCAGTTTTCTCTGGTAGTATGTGAAGCAGCAGTTTTCTGGACCAAGTGAAACTAAAGAAAGACCAATGAGAGATGAACCATCAGAATGACGGAAAAAGTATTTGAAATAAATACAATGAAAAGTAAAAAGTTTGACTTCACTAACAAGAGAAGAATTATTTAGACTTAGACTGATAGATGTCTTTCAGTAAACTTTCTGATGGAGAAAACAAAGTCTGGCTGAACACACACTCACCATGACGTCTTAGTCCCTGGTCCTGCTGGTCTGCCTGCCTGACAGGAGCTTTTGGACGTTTGGTGGTTGAAACAGGATCAGCTTTTGCTCTGATGCTAGAAACCAGGTCTGATGCTGAAGTCACCTCTGAGGAAGTCAGCGTCTGCTCAGGAGCTGGAGGACTCTCATGCAGGTCACTGACAGCTGAAGCACTAACAGAAGGACACAGCGTTCAGCGACACCAAAATATGAATTAAAGCTGCGTAGTAAAGAGAGTTTCTGTATGTAGTGACTACATTCACTGAATACCCCAAAACAAGCAGATGAATTAGAACCAGTGTTGCTCTGCACACTATCTGCTCTGCTGTTAGTGAGGAACCAATCAGAAATGATTTGTTACTGAGTAATTCCTGAATAACTCTGAATGGAGGACTCAGTGGTAGAAGACGTATCACAGCTTTTTACTTTAGGGTCGTTCCATCTCTAATCATTACATTTTTACATCAATTTCTGCTTCACCATCACTGACTTGCCTGTTTTTTGGGTTTTTTTTTCCAATCATAAAGTATAGATTAGTAGTTTTATATTAGCTCGATTTATCAAATACGTACTGAGCCAAAAAAAAGCCCATCAGTCTGCTTTCAACATGCTTTTTCAGCGTTGAAATTTGAGCCTATGTTTGAACGATAACATGTCAGGAACTAATACAAATAAAAGGCTGAAACTTTCAGTCATATTTTTCATCATGTCATTAATCCAGAATTAGGTAACAGTTCCTTCTGGTTCTTCAGCCTTCAAAGTGAGTCTGAAAATGAAAACTGTGCCTCCAGAATGTTGTTCTTCTTGGAATGTAGCAGTACTTTTGTTGTTGCTGTACTTTTTTCTTAGAAAGTAAATACTGTGTTCAGCTCACATTTCACAGATTGCATATAAAATATCAATAGTTTATGATTAAATAAAGGAAGAAATTTCAAGTAAATCGGAGACAGTCGAGCAAAATGATTTTAAAATGTTTGAAAATAAACTTACGTTGTTGTAGGTTCACTTGCTGCTGCCAGAGTGCTGAGCCTGATATCTGACCGATTGTTTGGTTCTGTGTGTGCTTTGGAGAAAAATAT